AGAGAATAATTACTTGCTTAGTGGACAAGTAAATAATTATCTAGCTTGTTGGGCAAGTTTAGGAGACTAAGATTAAGATTATTATATATTGTTCAACCCCGTGACTTTGATGGATAGTTAACTAATGAATAAAAAATAATATTGTTCTTGGTATTTTGAAACTGTTCTCAATTTATCGTCCTACTCGTACGCTTCATGTTGGAATATCACTTGTGAGTTGTCCCACATTGATTCTATAGGGAAAATGAGTCTAGTATATAAGCCTAGTGGGCTACTCCTCCCATCACCAATTGGTTTTGGGATGGAACCTCACTATGGTGCACCTAGACTCACCCTCTTATGGTGCGCTTCATCTAGTGGGACCGCACTCTCTTCCCCCATTCTAACATGGTATCAGAGCGGGCCTGTCCTAGGACCTGACTCTCTGTACCCGGCCTGCTCTGGGCTTGGACTTATCTCTCTATCTGGCCTGCGATGTGGGTTTGGGCTTACGAAGGACTCACAAGTGAGGGGGTGTGTTGGAATATCACTTGTGAGTTGTCCACATTGATTCTATAGGGAAAATGAGTCTAGTATATAAGCCTAGTGGGCTACTCCTCCCATCACCAATTGATTTTGGGATGGAACCTCACTATGGTGCACCTAGGCTCACCCTCTTATGGTGCGCTTCATCTGGTGGGACCGCACTCTCTTCCTCCATTCTAACACTTCCCTACATTACCCTCTCCATACGACACTGACGACCAGATCACGACCGCTCCTTTATGATCCGCTACTTACGACCACATCATCTCTCATTCTATTGGTGTTAATTTTATTTAAAATAAATAAAAAATATCATAATTTGTAATTTTTTAGTTAGCCGATTGTAGTTGTGTATTTTAGTTATAAAATTGTTCGTTTAAAAAAAAAAAAAAAGTTGGGGTTGGGTAAAATATTTTTTTTTTATTATTTCTACTTTGTCTTTGAATTTTTCGGAACCCGCCAATGGGTTTTCTTATAAACAATATTGTCCTCACATTCGAGTTGATCGAGGATTTTCCACCTTGTGTTTTTTACTTTTTAGTCTACAAATGAATTGAGGATGAGATGCCAGTTGTAATGTGTTCTGGAAGACTAGACTGGGGCACCGGGCAGTAAAAAATGTGTGATTCCACTTGTTTAATAATATTATTTGTTTATTTTAATTCAAGGTCTTTTTAATTTTTTTTGTTATTTTTTTATTTACGATAAAAATAAATTTATAAATTAATATTGGTGTTCGAACGACCGACAGACGGGCTACAAAGCGGAATGGGTCATAAGACACTTTTTGATCACCTTGAATAATTCATAGAACACTTTTCTCTAGTCAATATGATAATTAGTATAGA